TTCCCTTCCCTTCCCTTCCCTTCCCTTCCCTTCCCTTCCCTTCCCTTTCCAGAACTCTCAGAGGCAAGGATAGGAACCCCAATCTCCTTTATCTGCTTCCCCAACTCATTCTACCTTTTGTAGTTTGTTTTAATTGTCAATTTGAAAGAGCCTAGAGTTATCTGAGATAAAAGCCTGGATTGAAAAATTATCTAGATTAGTCCATGGAAATATTTGTGGTGTATTGTCTTTTTCTAAGTATACCTTGATTTTTCTTTTATTAAAATGGATTATGTTAATTATTTATAATATAATTAATTAATATATCCTGATTATAGTTTCCAATATCTCTACTCCTTCCAGTCTCTCTCTACCTCTCCTCCCATATGGGTACATCCCCTCTCTGTCTCTCATTACAAAACAAACAGGCTTTTAAAGTATAATAATAAAAGATAAATATGCTTATTTGAATAAGAATGGAGTCCATAGACTCATATATTTGAATGCTCAGTCAGCAGGGTGTGGCAGTATTTGAAAGAATTAGAAAGATTAGGGGAATGTGGTCTTGTTGGAGAAAATGTGTCACTGGGGATAGACTTTCAGGTTTGTCCCCAATTAATGCTTTCTTTCATAAGAGTTGCCTTGGTCATGGTGTCTCTTTATAGCAATAGAACAATGAATAAGACAATACGACGATGATGACAACAACAACAACAAAAACAAACATATCAGAATAGAACAAAACAAGCAAGTGCAAGAAAAAGAGCCCAAGAAAAGGCACAAGAAACAGATACACAGAGAGCCACTCATTCACACACTCCAGAAGCTCATGCAGACAAAAAAAGTAAAAGCTGTAATATATCTGGATAGATCCTGTATGGTCAAAAAAGGGGAAAAAAGTAAAAATAATAATTCAAAAAGTACAGAAAAAGAAAAAGTCCCTGGCACAATACTATAGAACAAGAAACCTCCAAGGAAGCCATGGGTTCATTTTCTGTTGGCCATTGACCACTGTACATGTGGCCTACCCTTAAGAGCACTGTGTTTTCCCAGTGAGACTCCCTTGGAGGAAACTAAGTGTTCATTTGCAAGTGGTTACCAATTGGAATAGCTTCTTGGTTGGAGGTGGGGACTTGTGTGACTTCTCCTTTCAGGTCTAGGACCGCATCTGGTACAAACCCATGCAGACCCTGTGCATGCTGCTTCAGTCTCTGTGAGCTCACGTGTGTTTCAATTCTCTTATGTTTAGAAGACACTGTTTTCTTGGTCTCCTCCTGTCACTCTGCCTCCTCTTCCACAGGGTTCTCTGAGGGATTTGATGGAGACATGCTGTTTAAGGCTGAAAGTTCCCATGGTTTCTCACTCTCTAGATTATGTTTGGCTATGGATCTCAGTATTTGTTCACATCTACCGCAGGAGGACAATTCTTGGATGATGGCTGAGCAAGGCTTTGATCTATAAGACAAGGCACATAGTCTCACATCAAGGGATTGAGCGTTTTAGTCAGAGTCCTCTCTCTTGATTAGTTTCTTTAGATGTACAGATATTAGGTTTATCCTAGAAGTCTATATGAGTGAGTATATACCGTGTGTGTCTTTCTGCTTCTGGGACAGCTCACTCAGGATGATCCTTTCCAGGTCCCACCATGACAAGGCACAAGTCTCACATGAGGCAACCTAGGAGGAAGAAAAGTGTCCCAAAGAGAGACAAAAGAGTCAGAGACAGCCCATGCTCCTACTTTTAGGATAGCACACTGTCATTAGGAGTTGTTTTATTGCTGTTCTTTTAGTTGAGCAGTCATATTTGCATTTACCCTAGGTCCTTAGGTTCTTCACCCAAGCAGTGTCAGATATGGGCTCCATCTTGTGGAGTAGGCCTTACTCTAATCAGATATTGTTTGGCTACTTCCTCAAGCTTTGCACCACCATTGCAGTAGTGTAGGACACCTGCAGGTAGGAGACCTGTCTATGTTCAGGGTTACTAGGGATAAGTGATCAAAGAAAGAGAACCCCTGCAGGATGAACTTAGGCTTTTCAGCAGCAGGAGGCTCAACCTCTGAAGGAGTAAACACTGACAGCTTCCTAGA